TTATATTATAAAATTATAAACTCAAATCCTTGTAGATTTGATAACTTGAACTTCTGTTCAATTTAATATCTATGATAATTAGTATACTTGTACAATGTATATTACCATACCCATTAATAAATGAGGGCGAGGATAGATATCAAGATACTTGCCACAAGGATACTTGTTAAAATTAGTTATAATAAAATTATTAAATACCTTTATTTAAATATATAACATATGTTGAGTGAAAATATGATAATAGTTACATTTATTTTTTTTATACTTGTTAGATTAAAATATTATAATTTTAACTTTTACTTTAGACTTGTGGAATTGAATTATTTTAGTTTATTGAATTTTTTTAAACTTTTGGTATTGAAGTACTTTAACAATTAAATTTAGTTTTTAAATTGAAGAAATTTGATTAATAAGCTTGTGTATAATATTTGAATAATTTAATTTTTAGATTTTAAATTATTATTTTCAAAGAAATTATTAGAATAAATAAAAAATTATCACTAAAATGTTTTTTTTTTAATTATTTACAAGATTTTTTGTAATGAATATCTACGATACCCGTGGATACTCACACATATTGAAAAAATTTGTGGGTATATTTACTTAATGGTTGTGGATACAGGGACAGGTATGAGGCGAATATTTATCTAACGGGGTAGATAGTGGCCAGATGACTACTACTTGTACCCACCCCACCCAATTGACATCCCCAACAAATTAAGAGTACAAGTTGCTCTCTATGGCTTTAACGTTGGGCATGTGGAGTAGTCCACATTGGGCATGGGAGTTTCAAGGGACTCTTTGAGATAAATTTGATGGGCGTGCACAATGTCATGTCAAGCACAATGCAAAGAATAGTGAAGTGTGATTTGTATGATTGCAATTGTAATGAAAAGGTTATCCTTAAGTTATTTGGTGTGTGATGAGAACCTTTGTTTTAATTGTTGGTTTAATGTGATGTGTGAAGTAAAGTGTGACGATGAATGTGACTGGATTGATATGTGATATGTGTAATTTAAACGACATGAGCATTGTGTGGTTATAATGGTGAGTGTGAGAGTCGCAATGGTAATTTGATTTACTCTAAGTGTATAATCTTGGAGATGGTTTGAGAAACTTATATTAATGGTTAAGAAAGAGAAAGGATGAGAAGGGGTATTTCTGAATAAGTTATGATTAATATACAAAAATATGTTTGTAAGATCTTGTACTTAAGGCTTTGTGCTTGTATGTAATATGAGATGTTTCCATGTAATACAAATAATATGAAATATTTATGTGTAGCATGAGAAATTTAAGTGGTAGGAGATGATTATAATTATGTGATATGGGATGGTTGTACGTAATGTGATGAGATGTTGATATTTGACTTGGGAATGTTGTGTGCAACGTTTGAGACATTGGTTAATGATGAGATGTTAGACAATGATAATGTATGATATGAGAATGAAACAATGAGGATGTGTATGCATGAGATTTACAAGATGGTGATGCGTACGCATGATATTAACCTTAAGAGGATGTGTTAAGTCAATGAGATGAGTATGAGTTGAGTTCATGAGATAAAGTGTTGAACAGAGTCTGGTATATGGAGCATCCATCATGAGTAATCGCCTTCTAGCTATGAGTAATTGCCTTTAGGCCATGAGTATTCTCCTTTAGGCCATAAGCACTCACCTTCTGGCCATGAGTAATTGTCTTTAGGTCATAAGGATACGCCTTTGAGCCAAGAGTAGAGTTTTTTGATCTTGAGTTATGAAGTACTTACGTGCATAAAGTTTTAAAGCGTTTAGGTTGTCAGATTATCATTACCTAAAATATTAATTGGTGGAAATCATTGGGTTGAGAACGAGGAATTTGAGCCTATTAATATGAATGTATTGATATTAAGGTTGTCAGATTATAATTACATGAAATATTAATGTATATGGCGTATGGAATATTACTTTTGCCTAACATATATCTATGTATAAGTATGTTAGAGTGAGATAATTCACACTCCCTTTTGTTATTATTGTTGTTGTTGTTGTGTTCCTATGTGTGTATTGCATGTGAGGATCATCGTGAGGATGATTTTCATAAAGAGGCATGTGCCTTGTGATATGCTACGGGTCGAGTTCAGATAGGATGTTGTAACACTATCTTTTTTTATAATAATATTATTAATATTATTATATTATAGTCAGAAGTATTATTTAATTTTACAAAAGGGGAATTATTTCATTATATTTATTTATTTTAATGGATGGAGGGAAATAGGTCGGATTGACCCAATTCAGTGGGATTTTAAGAAAGGGATTGGGCAGAGTTAACCCATGTGTCTCATTTGGCGTTCTGAAGGATTAAGAGAGAAAAGGAAGAGAAAGAGGGAGCTCGGAGGAGAAGTGCTTAGAATCATCTCAAACTACATCAGACTAATCTTATCAACATAATAAGGTAAGGGAGGGAAATGAGTGATTCATGTGTGGGATTACAAGAGAGAATAGGTAGTGGGAGAAATCCCTAAGTTCTTAAGACTCTTTCATTTCTTTTCTGAAACTAAATTTGATGATCCAATTAGGTTCAAAACTGAACTATGAACTTGTTTATTGTATTATTTGGTGAAATTAACATTCTGATAGATGATTGAATCCCTTTGGAATGTCTCTATGGGTTAGGGTTTCATGAGAAATTTGGGTATTGTTAATTGATATGTGATTTCATGAAATTAATGTTCTATGATGTGTTTTTTTTTTTTTGGAAAAATAAGTGTTTTTGACTGATTGAATTAGTAAAAGGATGATTGTATGATAGATATTGAGTTTTAGGGATGTTTTGTTCGTACTATTTTCTGGAAAATGCATTGGCACCGGGCTTGAGTCCTTGGCACCGAGATTGCATTCATACTGATGAATTTGAAGCCCAAAAAGGGTTAAGCCAGCCGTAGAACGTTTCATGCCGGGCGTGACCACCTTGGGGGAGTCTCTATTCTCCTTTAGTGTTGGGCGTCATTCCTCGACGTCGGGCATGAGAGATGCCTAGTGTTCTCTATGGTCCCTTAGCGTCAGGTGTTATTCCCTAACATCGAGCATGGGAGACACTTGGTGCTCTTTGTGGTTCCTTAGCGCCAGACAAAATTATAATTTTGCTGAGCATGAAAATATGTGAGTGCTCTCTATTGTGGCTTAAAGTTGAGCGTAGCTTGGTGAAGCCCGACGTAGTCTATAAATATGCTATGTGTATTGATGTGTTTGATGGTAATTGTGAGTTGTGTGGTGTCCATAGATGACTATTGTATGATTAAGTATGAATGGTGTGTGTTTGGATGAATTGATGTTCGAATGTGGTTTAATGTGGCTTATTATTATTAATTGTCCATTGGCATGGACAGAAAGGATAAAAGTATAAGGTGACATGGCATGAGCATTACTGCATCTTGCATACACATTTACCCTTGTCATAAGTGGTGATTAATAGGGGATGTATCTTTACACACTGGCCATAAGTGGTGATTAACAGTGTGACACTGGTCATAAGTGATGTAAACGGTGTGGGATGCATTATTTATACATTGGTCATAAGTGATGATTAACAGTGTGACATTGATCATAAATTATGTAAATGGTGTGGCCATGGATGGCGGTGCCTAAGGAGATTGATGAGGTTCACCCATTGTGCGACGCTTTGAATTGATGCTTATTAGGAGGTTGCATTGTATATGCATTGATGTGAGCATGAACATGACACATGAGTTGTATGATGATATGATTGTCGTGATAATACGTGATGGATTTGTGCAATGATGACATTATTGTGATTGAAATGTATGTGGGTTAACTATATATTGGGTGGAATTCTTTTCTTGTGTTTTGCATATGAATGCTTATTTTTCTCACTCATCTCATTGTGGTATATTTTAGGTAATGGCTTAAGTGATGAGGTCGGCACTCAAGGTGTCAAGAGCTGAAGTAATGGGTTTGCTCTGATAATATGACATTGGGACAACAGGATTAGAATATGAGTTTATGAATTATTTTGATTTACTATTTCTTCCTTGTTAGATACAATTGCAAATCTTATGCTTTATGATTTTGTTTTAATTCGTTTGGATGCTTAGAGACAGTTTTTATGTGAACCTATTTTACCTACAAGTTTCTAATTGAATTTTATTCTTTTCAATTGTATTATCTATTGATGTAGAATGGGTGTCACAGATGTGACATTGGGGTCCTTAGATGAGGATCTTTATTACATAGAATTTCTTATTATAATTATGGATCATGTAACTACTTTTTGACCTATAGTAGTTTTATTATTAACCACAAAGTTATTTTGTTAAATTTTGTTTTTCTTTTGTTTAAGTATATGATTTTAAGCGTGGATATGAATATCATTTCCTTTATCCATGGAGATGTTTTTATGAATAGTTTCATTTTATATTAAAATTTCTTCAAAACGATTAGAGTTTATTTATTAACTATTATGAGTATTGATGCACAAGGTAGAGGGTATCACACAATACTCAAACTTTTGTTTATTTTAGTACCTATGACAATTGATGCCCTTGTCAAATGTCTAATAGTTTCTAAATATGTCCTCATTAAAGAATAATTCCTAAAAGTGTTATCACTACTAGAAAAATTAAAATTAGAGAGGGAAAAAAATTAATAAAATTCTAGTTAAATAATTTAAAATAATCAATTTTATCATACAAAAATAAAAAAATACTAATAGTTAAGAAAATACATTTGTACTCTTCCTATTAGAAAGAGAGAGGATGTTATAATTCTTTTTTTCCTCGAGATATCACATCTTTTCTATCGATAAAATTTATATATAAAAATTTATTTAAAAATAAAGTTATCATAAGTTAGAAATATATATTATAAATATGAATCAAAATAAATAAGAAATTTTAAAAAAAATTATATACTAATTAAAAAAATACCTAAAAATCCAATCGTAAAAAAAAATCTCTAAATATTTTTTCACATAAATAACTATTTGTATTAATTATGTAGGAGTGCATATAGAGTACAGCTCTCCAATTCCATCGACTGATGATTGGATTGGAGTATTCTCTCCCGCAAACTTTAGGTAACATTCAAAATCTGTGTCTATGTATCGTTCTAAACTTTAGCCAGAAAACTGGCTTTACAATTTGAAGTCCTTTAAAAGTTTTGATTAAATTCTTGCTTTGTACAACCAAACTTGATTGCTTAGTTTTATTTAAAAGTTTCTGTTTTTTGCATTTCAGTGCTTCCACATGTGCGAAAGAAAATCGTAGAGTCTATCCGCCACTATTGTGTTCTGCGCCCATTAAGGTACATGCGGGGATGTGACCACTAACCTGTTCTATGTTTTTGTAATAAGTTTATCACAATCATTTCTTTCTGATTGAAATAGAACAGAAACGATATGGAATAAGACTAAGGAAACATATAATAGTCTAAAATTAGAAAATCTTCAACCTCACGTACAAAGAGACCAAAAAATGATCTAATACATTTGAGTTAGGAAATTAATTTTGCACACATTGAAATTGCTACAATAAGTGCTTAAATACTAAAACTAACTCTTGATTAGATAAAGTTAAAAGTAAATTATGACCAAGTTAACAAGCAAATTTTATTTGCTTATTACTCTTTCTGTCATAAGCAATCTTTGTCCAAACATACAAGCAGAATAGAAAACTGCAAGAATTTAAAATATTTAATTATGATAGTAGAAAAATCCCAACTTCCAATACTTTTAGTTGGTTTTCTTGAAGTGATGGTCTAATGAGAGTTTATCATTGTGCAGTATCAATATGCAAATTACTCAAGTCCCCTCTACAAAGTAACTGGAAAAGGGTTTCTGAAGCTTCAGCTAATTAATCAGAGATCAGATTTCTCATTTGCACTATTTTCTGGTGGCTTGTCAAACGTAAGCTGTCATTAATTTGAACTTGCTTGATCAAGTATTCAAGTGGATGTTAGTATTCTAAGATTCTTTACAAACCAAATTGTATGCCCAAATTATTTTGAAGTAGGTTTGGTCCATGAGAATATTCTTGCCTTTTCTTTTTTCCTTTTCTTTTTAAATAGTGTTAACAAATCCCTTTAAAGGTTACGTTGTGGGATGAGTGATCATTATCTTGTTTGTTTCTCTCCTTTTCAGTTTGTCTTTTTTGTTCACTTTTGTTCTGCTTTTGTAGTATTTTCCTTTTAGATACCAAGTCTTAGCATTACCTCTTCAGATTTTGCTATTACTATGAAATCTAGTGAGAGCACGAGTGGGAGGTGACAGGTGTTAATTTTGGCCTTACAACTATATATCGATGGTTGAGATTAGCTCCTCTTATGCTGTCATCTCTCACCCGATAAGCTTCCTATAGGCTATATATGTGCGTGTATATGAATTGAATTATTATTATTGGACTATCTCTCCCCTACCAGATAGACAAGAACTCTAATTGAAGCAACTATCACAAAAAGAAATGTATTATACATTGCTTCTTACTTTGAACTTGATAAGAACAATATTACTATTGCAGTTTTATTTTATTCATTTGATGTTATATTCATTGTCTAAACTATTATATATTATAATTAGATTGATGATCCTCAGTTTTGATCAAGGTCCTTGGACCCAATCTAGTTTTCCATCAGATTGTCCAATTTTATAAACTGTCACTTATAAATTGTACATCTATCATGAAATAGCTAAATGCGTTCGCTTATTTGTTTCTATTTACCTCATGATAGCCAAAGCTAGTGGCAGTGTCAAATAAAATAGCTTTTGCAAATCCAAACGCACCAGTTTACCCTCGCTTGGCGCTAGGAAAGTCATGGAACGAGGTAAGTTCAGTTTCTTCAGTCCTAGACTTCATAAAACTAATACAATTGATGTTACAAGGATAAGTAAGTTCCCTATGTAAGCAAATGTTATGTGAAGAAAGAAAGCATTCAGCATGCTGCTATTATCTCTTTTAGTTAATTTTTTAAAAATATTTGTGTTACATTTACTGTTTTTCCTTTAAATGCTTCTTTCATTTTATCAAATTAAAACAATATCACTTTGAACATAAATCAGATGACTGTAACATGGACAAGTGGATATGGGATCAGTGATGCCGAACCTTTTGTTCAATGGGGTCCAAAAGGAGGGGATCATATGGATTCTCCTGCTGAGACACTGACTTTCACTAGTGATAGCTTATGTGGTAAGGGAAGTCAGTAAATTTTTACAGTTGGGGTATATCTTGCAATTTGAACATCTTTGATATGTGCTTGACCTTGACATTTGGAATTGAGAAATGATACCTGTACAACATTTTTTGTGTTTATCTTTTTCCATTGAATCATTTATTACATTTATTAATGGAGATAGATACACACCGAAAATGATATTATGCGAACTGTTGTATAAATTTTTGTACGTGTATCATTAGTCTGTATAAAATTGTGTAATCTCTCTTAAAGGATAATGATACACATAGAACAATTTGTATAACATCATTTTTATGTCCATCTCCCTCCATCATTAATAAATATAATACATCATTAATAAATATAATAAATGATGTGATGGCAAGAGATAGGTTCCCCGAAAGGAAATGAGGCATCTTATGTTTTACCACTAGCAAGTTCAACCTATGTTATGTATGGAAGAGCTGAAGTAGATTTCATATTATTGCTCGCTCTTTAGTACCAAATTCAGATTTATGCCTTTTGAATATTGAATTTGGTACCAGGTTGTGTTGGTGTTCACTATAATCATGGACTGATGTATTTGTTTTTTGGGTGTAGGTCATAGGCCAAAACTTGTGATATCTCCACTATCAATTTGTTCCTAATAAATCTCTGCCTTTTTCAAAAAAAAAAATATATAAAATCTAAAGAATGTCTCAATGCTCCTGTTGATCAAAAGGATTACATTACTGTATGTCAAATTCGGTCCTTTCAACTGTAAGTACATTAATACCCTTCAACCTAAGAAACATGGACGGAACTGGATTCAGTGCAGTCACTTTTTTTCATCCATAAGTTTAATGCATTCATAACTGTTAGATGAAGATTGGACGGCTGAAATTATGAATTTGTTTCAAGTTGATTCAATGAGAGAAAATATGAGCAGTTCAATCTTCATCCAACGTTTCTGAAAAGCTAAATGCATGGAAAAGTGAATGCAGGGAATCCGGATCATGACACTGACACTAACACAATACAAGACATTACAAGGACACCAAAAGGGTAACAGAACGAAATTAGATATGTACACAAAGTGTTTATGCTTCATATCCTTGAACAAAGTGCTTAGTCTACCATTGGGAACTTCAGTTTTCTTGAAAGTTTAGTTTGGTGGAAAATTTTTCCAAAAGTATTGCTCATTTCTCATTAACATTATCTATTTATGAACAGGTGCACCAGCAAGAACAGTGGGATGGCGTGACCCTGGATACATACACACCAGTCATCTGAAAGAACTGTGGCCCAACAGAATGTACGTATTTTGACTAATTTCTAGCTTAGGCCTAGTTTTATGTTCTTTCTAATTTAGTGTTTTCCACTTTCAAGGTATATGCCAATACAAATACGTGAATCTTATATTCAGATTTCGTTTTACTTTATAGTATACTAGTAAAATAAAGGCACTCCGTGCCATGTGAATACTATGCGCATGAAAATTATAAAATTGTAAGGAAGTTACAATTTATTAAAGAAAAAATCATTTTGGATAAATAAAATTACTGAATTTTTCTACACTAAAAAAAGAGGGTGTGCGCTTGCCAAATTAAATAAAGGATAAAAATGTCTAAAAAAATGTGTACATAAAAATATTGTATCGTCTTTATATATTGTTATAGATTATAAATGTTATAGATTATTTTTTCATTAATTTTATGGGAGCTTCACTTTGAAGCTATAATTTTTTATTTGATATTGTTATCTATTAAGGGCGAATTCCACCCAGTGTAGTAAGGCTTAATTATTGTTATTTTGTTGTATTGTCATTATCTGCTTTAGATTTCATCTTAAATTGAGACCTTAACAACAACCATTAATAACAACTTTTTTGTTTTTGTTATCGAGTTCCTAACTAGATAAAACCTACTGTGTTGCATCATATTTTCAATTTAAATTAGTGAGTTTATTATAATGATGTCACGATAGTTGTTTAATTGTGCTTTCTGTTGATTGTGCAGATATGAGTACAAGATAGGACACAGATTAAACAATGCTACATATATCTGGAGCGGAAACTATCAGTTTAGAGCACCTCCTTTTCCTGGACAAAAGTCCTTACAACGTGTAGTCATATTTGGAGATATGGGAAAGGTTTGAACTGTTATGAAAATATATGCATGCATATATTTGATGGATGACATCTATTATATTTGTCAGCAATTTCGGTCATGGAGTTTGATCATAACATATTCTAATAATTTGATGTCTAACATTGAGATTCGCTCATACTGGGAGGATACTAAATCAATTCTATCTTGCTTGGCCTTTTAAAATCTAATCTGTGGTATCAAACCAAAGAATATTCTAAGGGATGCTTACAGACAATACTTCTTTCCCCACTCTTTCTTTAAGAAACTGCCATAGTTTCAGGTGTTCACAAACTGCATATTAGGCATATAATTGTTGTTTAACTGTAATGTGTTGTTGGGATATAAACAAGATCTCATATTGATAAAATAAGAAAAGAAATAAGAGTTTATAAAGCACACACATATTCCAATAATTGAGAGGTTTTTTGGGTAATAACTAAAAGCAAAATCGTATAAGCTCAGATTCAAAGCGGCCAATACCTCACAATTGTGGAATTGTGTATGAAATAACTTTATAAAAATAACAAAGTTATAATCCAGCCAATATCTATCTCAAATTGTGTGTGAAATAACCTTATAAAAATAACAAAGTTATTATATCATAATATTTTCATATCAAGTTTAAAACCAGATATTAGTTATACAAAAATATCAAAATCATATAGTAAATTATTAATAAAATTCTAGTTAAATAATTTAAAATAATCAATTTTATCATACAAAAATAAAAAAATACTAATAGTTAAGAAAATACATTTGTACTCTTCCTATTAGAAAGAGAGAGGATGTTATAATTCTTTTTTTCCTCGAGATATCACATCTTTTCTATCGATAAAATTTATATATAAAAATTTATTTAAAAATAAAGTTATCATAAGTTAGAAATATATATTATAAATATGAATCAAAATAAATAAGAAATTTTAAAAAAAATTATATACTAATTAAAAAAATACCTAAAAATCCAATCGTAAAAAAAAATCTCTAAATATTTTTTCACATAAATAACTATTTGTATTAATTATGTAGGAGTGCATATAAATATATATATTTTTTATTATAAATTATTGTCTTGCTCTTACAAAAAAAAGATACTAAAAAATAATATTATCATCACTTTTAAGCAATTTATATATTTTTTTAAGTTTTATTTAGCGAAGGAATAGAATTTCGTCGCTAATTTTAACTAATATTTAGTGACCAAATAGAATTGTCGCTAACTTTAATTAATATTTAGCGACCGAATTCAATTTCGTCGCTAATTTTAACTAACGACCGATCGAATTCAATTTCATCGCCAATTTTAACTAATATTTAGCGATCGAATTCAATTCTGTCGCTAAAAAATCAAAATTTCTTATTTAGCGATCGAATTTAATTCGGTCGTAACGTTTTTTACAATTTAGTAGCTAGTTGGTTGCTGGTTCCGTCGCAAACTTTGTGTTCATGAAACACAATCAAGTACTGACCGAAATAGCGACCGATTTTCTGGCAACGACTTATTTTGGTCGCTAAATGAGTTACTATTTGATTATTTAAAATCGGTCGCTAAATCAGTCGCTAAATAGCGACTAATAAATTTTGGTCGAAGTATAAGAACCTAGAACCTATTAGAAGATTATAATATGTAGTTAAATTTTTTTTTTTGATTCAGTGACGAAATTTGTGACGGATTTTTAGAGACGGAATATATTCCGTCACAAAATCCGTCACAAAAGTCAATAAATTCTAGTCCGTCACAAAACTTAAAATTCCCTCACAAAATCCGTCACTATTAGCGATGCTATTTTTTTCGTCACAAAATTCGTCACAAATATGAATTTTTCTAGTAGTGTATTATCAAATATATATGAATATAAATAATATATTTTATATACATAGAGGATAAATTCTCTCTTTATATAAATTAGAATAATTATATTAAAAGAGAGCATTTTTAATAACCATTTTTCATCGAAAGTGTATTTAATGACTTTTCTTCAACGAGAAAAAGTAAAGATTTTTTTATAACCTTTTATCCCTTTCAATTTATCATTTTTATTACTAAATTGAATTTTAATAATTTTAAATAATTTCTCAATATTTAAAAAAATCATAATATTAACAATTTACAATAAACATAAAATATGATTTATAAGTTAAAATATTAGTTTATTTATAAATTTTAATTGCATAATAATTTATATTTTCAAAGTTAACTATTTAATATAAATTTGAACGATTACTATGTATATTATACAAAATAAAATACTAGTAATATATAAATTAGAATTACAATTTTGAACTAAAGTCTTTTTAAGAATTACTATTCTATTAGAGTAATTTTTAAGTTTTGATTTTCAGCTAAATTTCGTAAAAAAAATAATAATTAACATGGTATATCTTGTAATTTATCATTTACATATTTATTTCTAAATTTAAATTTTTCTATTTTGAAAAATATTAAAAATTAAAAATAACATTATATCATAGTATATAATATTGATCATAAATTTTAATATAATTTATATTCAAAATTACGTATTTATTATATATTTGAATTATGATATAATCTATATGTTTAAATATATTTCTTTATTATAAATTTTATTTTTTAAAAATATTTATTTTGTGTATTATATAAACTAAAATACTAGTGATTATTCATATTTTATTTCCTTTTTTAGATTATCTTTAAACTATAAAGAATTTTTCAAATAATTCATTAAAAAATATTTTTTAAAATTAAAAGGTTAATTTCTGTAAGTAAATTTTTACATTTCAAAATTGTGAGAAAGTAACAATTTGTAACATTAAAAATTTTGATATTATCATGACTCATGATATTTTTTTCCTATTTAACAAACCACTATTTATGGAAAATCAAATCAATTTTAGTTGCAACAATAATTTCAAATTTGGATTCTAAGTAATATGACAATGCCTCAATGCGATTTCAGTAATAACTAGCCAATTATTATCGTTTGTTTCATCTCAAGAAACAACGCGGAAAGTATCAAGTTGGATTCCAAGATAATCAATTTCAGATCTCAAGAGATTTGACTATGGATCCTATAATTCCAATTTGCTTTCTTCGTCACTTGCTGTCAATTTTGAGTTAAAATGAAAAACCCTAGAGAATTGCCTCTGATACTCACAGTTCAGGTATTAACAACATTTATTGTTACTAGTTTTCATTATGCATGTATTTAGCCTTATGATGATGTTTAATTTGTGTCTCTTATGATAAGAATTTGGGTTCACACACTCGATTTTGTTTCTCTATTATTAAATATACTGCACCTTTGTTACACAGATAATGAAATATGAGTTCTCTATACAATTATCATATATAGCACTTTTTGGGTCCATCTTTAATATGTATTTGACTATGAAAAGGTTTAAAAAAATCACTTGGGACTGGGATTTTGGTTACAATGTCAAGGTTTTTGAACTACTGTAAATTACAACCAACCACATTTCTTCATCAATGTGGCAACATTGACCAAATTTGCTTGAAATTTACTACAATCATATTGAAATTGTGGCTAAGACCTCAAATTAAAACCTTGACTAGTGACTTATGTGTTGCTTCTTTTATTGAGCCAAAAGTTGATGTTTCGAAGGTGGAACTACGTTGTGGTAGGAACAAAACATTTTAATTGAAACAAGGAACATTATCAATGTATGTATAGAAGGTTCTTAGTTTTTGCAGATTTTATAATTTAATTTTTATTTATTTATTAATTGATTTAAGAAATTCCAAAACATTGACTGAAATCATTTGGTTTAGGTAAACCAATCAAAATTCTTTTAGCCCGAACATAATCAAACCAATAAATTTTGATGTATTTTTCCTAAACCCAAATCAACTTGACCTAAGCCCATGATGTTGTGGATTGTTGAAGTTTGGGTTGTTGTTTTGTCAACATGTGAAACATGCATATATTTTTTCACATCTCACATATGATATATTTTCTTGTAATTATATTTTGAGTGCACTAGTGAAATCTGGTGTAGAAAAGATGTTACAAAAGTTATAGGCAAGATTGTGGATGAATATGTAACTTGGTATTGTTTTACAATTTACATATCTCAATGTCATTTCATGAACCATTGTGCTTAGATTAAAAGTTCTCAAATTTGTGTCCAATTGTTGGAAGCTAATGTGTTATCTGATGTCTTTGTTAATAACATATTGATAGACATATATGGGAAATGTGGCCAATTTTTAAATGCAAGAAAACTTTTTAATGGATTGCAAAATTAAAATATGGTTGCATAAATAGTCATTTGCTTAATTTCGAAGTGAACATTTTGAAGAAGAAAAATTAAATATATTTACAAGGATGAAGCTAGAGAATTTCTACCAAATCATAACATTGTTGTAGTTCTGCTAAATGTTTATGCATGTTTGGAGGCTCAAAGACTTAGTGTTATTACATCCTCAAGTAGTCAAATCATGTTTTAAAAATCATGACATTGTGGAAAATGATTTGATTAATATGTATTCCAATAGTGAAAATATTGATTCTATGTACAATGTATTCTCAAACATGGTATATAGATATGTGATTACTTGGAATGCTATGACATGTATTCATTCCCATCGTAGACTTGGCAAACAAGTTTTACTAGTGTTCTAAGACATGATATGTGATAATAAAATTCTAAATTATATAAACTTTATTGGGGTTATTCTTGCTTGTGCTTATTTGGATCTTGTACAAGAAAGTTCTATGTTTTTTATAAAATAATGAAAACATGCCACATTCCCCCTAGACTAGAGCACTATCATGTATGGTTTCATAGTTATGCAAAGTTGGTCGTCTTGATGAGGTTGAAAACTTTATGAAGACAACATAAGTTAATTATGTTGGATGTTGACGCTTGATGTACTTTGCTTAATCCATGCCATGTTCATCAAAACTATGGTATAGGTAAACAAATTATAAAATGTCACACAAATAAACTCTTAATGGTTAGAAAACATATACATTGTTATTAAATATGTATGCCAAAGGAAAGGAGGTGGGATAAAGTAGTGAAGATTCGAAAATGATTAGGCAAAAAAAACATTACAAGGAATCTAGGTAAGTTGGCTAAATATAAAAAATGATAACCATGTTTTCTATTAGAAGAAAACAATCATCCAAAGTATTTCTATATTTATGAGAAAGTCCAACAATTATCTATGATAATTAAGTCATTGGGTTATCTACCTAGTATATAATTAGTTGTGTTGCATGGAAGGTGAACAATAGGAAAATTATTGTAGATATCACTATGAAAAGTTTTCCTTAGTATATGGCCTAAAAAAATACATTACCAACACATATTTGCATAGTTAAAAACCTTGGGATGTATGATGATTGTAGCACCATCATAAAATTGATACCAAAGGTCACAAACAAGTTAATATTTTGTCAAAAAGATGTTAACCATTTTCTAGAGTTACTCTATACTTGCAATAACCATAGTAACAATGTGATAAAATTCTTAATTATTTTTGTTTGAAGTGATCATGGCACTTTCTATTGAATAAAAGAATTATGCATCATATCAACATTAGCTAAAGCTTCAAGATATTAGTTGTAGTCCATTGATGTCAATCAAACATGGATGTGTATCAACAACAATGACGAATGGTGGATATATAGAGGGTAACCCTGCATGTGAAGTTATCACCTAATGTAATTAGGTGACTAATGTACACATCATTAGCTTCTACAAAAAAAAAATATTATTTCATATTTTCAAAATTTTAACATGTGACTCATAAGGCAACCTTACTATTGTGTCAAGGTTCACCCTTACATAACGTCTGATTCGAGGGGAAGAAAGGGAACAAAATCCTTCCTAACCTAATTTTAGCTACTCTTTGATATTGGGGGGATTTGGAGGGGGAGAGATTAATACAATATATTTATATTTATGTTATTAAATTTAAAATTATAAGAATAGAAAGGTAAATTAGTTTTTAAAATCCATCTCCTCCCCTTATGAACCAAACAAGAAAAAGGTTACCTTTCTCTTCTCTTCTATTCCTCCTAACCAAACAAAATTTTTAGCACCTTCCCTCCCTTCCCTTCTATCCCCTCCATTAAAATCTTTTTTCTCCCTCTCCTCCTTTAAACCAAACAGACCCTTAACCAATATACATACATACATCCATCCATTCATATATATAGATATATATATATATATATATATATATATATATATATGTATATAATTTTTAAGATATTTGAATATATTGAAATCAACTACATTTGTATGAATCTAAAAATAATCTCTTTAGGTTAATTGAAAATCATATATGTTTAAATGTTGATTCATAGGAGAAATCTTATCTAATCTTAATTATTTCTCTTACCAATTTCACAATTTGGTTGACTCACAAATGGATGATAAATTGAATTACTAAAAGGTAAAATATATATATATATATATATAAAGAAATTGGATTTATATATCATTAAATCATATATGTAAATATAACCATTTTTTAACTTTTTTCTTAGCTTATACACTGATCTCAATATGATGACATTCTACATGTAGAGCTTATGGTTCTTGCAAAGAGACTACATTCTTCTATTTTTAGAATTAGATTGCACAATCTCCATTTCATTATCATCATCAACATTGCTCCAAGATACAAGATTATCTAGTTTTTTTTCAAACACTAAACTTTGCAAATCAACATAAGAAAATCATTTTCTGAGAACACCACATCTATAGATGTCAAGAACATACCCAATTCCAAATAATAAACTCTCCAACCTTTTTTACCATAGGGACATCCCAAGAAAAAACACTATTGTTTGTGAGTTGCAAATTTATCTCCTTTAGAATCTTAGTTATGCACATAGCACAAGCTCCCAAACACGCATAAATGATTGAGAGATAGCGATTTTCTATTTAACATCTCATAAGGATTTTTCCCATTCAAAACAAATCAAGGTGTGTGGTTGATTAAGTATCCTACAATTAGAATAAATTCTACCCAAAACTCAATTGGAAGATGAACTTGAAAGTGTAGAGCACGAGTAACATAAAAGATGTGTCTATGCTTCCTCTATTCTCTTCCATTTTGTCATGGAATTCTGGTATAATATGTTTCATGTATAATACAATGGTTTTGGAAATAGTTATCCATGTATACAAATTTTGTACCATTGTTTTTATGCACAAATTTCACTTCTTAACCAAATAAATGTTCTACCATGTTAATAAATTAATCCATGCATGTAAAAACTTCTTTCTTTACTTCCAAAAGATAAATCCACACAACTCATGAATAATCATCCATAATAGTAAAAAAAAAATCTAGAACCACAATGAGATATAGATTTATATTGTCCCTATAAGTCACTAATGGATTAATTGAAAACTCTATGATGCTTTATTAGTGTTAATAAGGAAACTTTCTCTACATTGTTTAGCTTATTAGCTCTAAGGAAAACATCATAATCTTTATTCCATAACTCATTACTTTTACTAGAACCAATAATTGAAACCAACTCTACAACCTTATGAGACAGGTGTCCAATAACTTATGCCGCAAATCAAAACATTTCCACCATCAGATTTTATAATGACAACAATAACCATCCCTTATAGGTAGTAGAGACCCTTTATTTGTTCACCTATTCAAGTCATTATCCTTGAGATACGTTTTTTCATAACACATAATTTTTCAATAAAGTTAACCATGTAGTTTAATTCATCAATAAGTTATTTGAAATCATATTGCATTTCAACCTAGGCACATAGAAAACATAGTTTAGTTTTAGAGTATCACTAAGAACCAGAATCCCTTCCCTAGTAGCAAAAATTTTTCTTCCATCTAGAAACCCTATGGGCATTCCAAGATATTTCTCACATCAACAAAGTATTCTACCTTTAATGACATATTTAACAGTGAGCTTTTCAATAGTTCCTAATTTAACATTATTTGATAGATTCACCAATGTTTGTCATTAGTCCACATTAAGTCCACTAAGAGTATACTTATTAACATTTGTTATCATTATGCTTGATTCTATTTTAGCAACATTTGCTTTAGTTAGTATATTGCATCCTTTAGCAGCAAAAGTCTCTCATTTCCATTAAACATGTGTCAAAAGACTTCCTTGATTGTCATTTGTAGTGATGTCATAAGGTGAAATTATTTTCCCTAACATCACTTTATTCTTGTTTCCTTCCTCAATTGTGATTGCAAAGAGATGCATATCAAACCTAGCTTTGGTAATATACGAAGAAGAATTGTAGTGTAATTCTTGCCTTTTCATTATTGTACCAATAGAAAATATATACACGAGTATACAAAAAAAAATTCCTCAATATATGTTAATTATACTAGAAAAATATGTACGTAAACAAACAATATCATAACAAATCAATCCTAATAATAACAAAACATCATTTCAATATATTCAATACTAAATTAGTTCTTAGGATCATTATGACTTTTGTCTTAGTAGTTTAACTTAAAGTAATATCTCAGTTTTAAACAACTAACTAGTCTCCATTTGTTTTGTATCATTTCTTTGTGTTTCCACTTTCCACTAAAACTTGGGTTATTATTTGTTTTTCTATTGTATAGGGTTCTTGCATTGTACTCATAAAATTGTTATTATTTGGCTAAGATGATTGAATTTTGAACATTGATTTTTTGTCCTAGTAATTCATCTTGTTAATATATACGTTCAGGTCTAGGTTATCTTCTTGGTTGGAGTTCACTTCTGGAAAGTTACATTTCATGTCCGAGTTAGACACACAACTTCCTTCTGCCTTTGGTATGTTGTAGTTTTCAGATAAGTGGTCATAGATTGTCTTGAAAATGATGATATTTAGTCATTTAAGTGGAGACATAGATGATTGGACACACACATGCACATATATGAATTCTTCCTTACTTGATTAGTTATTCAATCTTCTATAGAATTTTTTTATTGGTATTTTGCTTCATCATGTTCTTATTGTCGTTCTTGTTTTATTTTTTCTTCATATTTTAACCTTTTGTGTAGGTCAACTTAATCTAATCTTAATGGTTTAGATTTGGGATTGAAATTGTTGAGTTTAAATTTTATTTTATTTTCCTTTTTGAAGATGTGATTCAAACCAGATAATAATTTATTTTAATAGATTAAACTTTATTTATCTAACAAACTTGGATAAATTTGCTAAATAGAGCATAACATTGCATGCTTGCATATCTTTGTTTTTTAGATTCACTAGGTTATATTAGTCCTAATGTTTGATTTCTTGTGTCCCTGTTGTAGTTGCTGATGTTCTATTGTGGAAGAGATGGCGAGTTTCCTTAGGTGTCATTGTTCTTGCAACACTTGCTTGGATCCTATTTGAGTGGACCGGATTACCATTTTTAACAATTTTTTCAGATGTCTTATTGGTTTTGATCGTAATATATTTTTTACAGGCAAATTATGCTGCCCTGAGAAATAAGTACAATTAATACTCTTAGATGTGCATTTTTGATATTTCCATCTTTTATAACATTAACAATATCATTTGTATCTTTTTTCTTCATGTAGACAACCCCCAACTTTACCTAAGCTATATGTGTCAGAGGAGATGGTTAATGATGTAGCAGCTTCCTTTCGGGTGAAATTCAATAATGTGCTCCTTATAGCTCATGAAATTACTGTTGGAAACAATTTTATAACTTTTATCAAGGTTAGTTTTATTTTGAGTCATAACATTTTAGAGATTATGGCCTAGGGAAGTATGATCTAAGTAAATAGTAATTTTTAAAAAAATATTATTCTTGTTTTAAAGAAAACAAGTTGCATATGATATTGTATGAAAGAATGTTTTAGTAGAACTAAACTAGGATAACATATAAGTTTGGATAACCATATGAAATAGAAAAGTTGTTATATTATGTTTAGATTAGGCATGGGAATGGGGCAGGGTGGGGACAGGTTTTATGTTTCCCGCCTCGCAAACTTAAATCGCCCCAGCCCCCACCCCAGATATCCATTGGGGGTAAAATCTAGGTACTCTTCCCCATACCCGGCAGGTTTCGGGTTTCCCTGCCCCAGTCCCCGATTTTATCAATCGGGAAAAACTCGAACCCGAATCCAAATCCGATAAACACGGGTTTTTCCCATCCAAATCTGGGCAGGTTCGGGCAGATACCCACGAGGGCGGGTTAGATTGTCATGCCTAGTTTAATAAATATTTTTTATAGAAACTTATATAAAAAAAATGAAATAAACTTCTCTTATAAGTTAAAATTATCTTATGCAAAAGTTAAAATTAACTTTTTGAATAAGTTAAATGATTTTAGGTACTTCAAACAAAAAAAAGATTTGGCCCGTTTAGAAAAACAACTTAATTAAAATTTTTTAAACAAGTTCATAATATATATATATATATATGATTTTACCTACTTCAAAAAAATTAATTTTTTTTGGCTCGTTTAGAAAAACAACTTAATTAAGAATTTTTAAACAAGTTCTCAATATATGTGTGTGTGTGTGCTCGTTTAGAAAAACAACCTAATTATGAATTTTTAAACAAGTTCATAATGTGTGTGTGCGTGTGTGTGCGCGTGTGTGTGTTTATAAAATTACACATTTAAAAATTAAAAAAAATAATAAAAAAACAAATATATACAAAAATAAGTAAAATAAATAAATAAATAAATAAATTGCATCATGGATATAATAACATTATAAATATAGAAAAAATCAAAATCATAAATCACCAATTATCATTTTTTATTTTCTTGAAGTTACAAATTTAAGTATCATTAATTTTAAATAAAAGAATATCACACTAATCATTTTTACAAAATTAAAAATTTGTCCCATAAAAAATTAACCAATACATGATTAAAATATAAAATTTTAATCACTTTAAAAAATTTTAACCATTAAACAACTAAAGAAACCATAATAAAATAATTATTTAAATTATATAAATATAAGCTTATTTGATTAAATTCTATTTTTTGGTTTAAAACAAAGAAGCTTATAACAAACAAATTTACAAGCAACAAATAATTATAATTTTTTATATAAAAATTAATATTTATACTAATATATTCATGTATTATATGTATAAAAAATATTAAATTCATCAATTCATTGATTATTTTATGAAAATATATAAGAGTTAACATAAATTTAGGAGAAAAAAAGTAAGAAATAGATACAATTCACATGTTTTGGTCCTAGCAAGATTTAGAGGTTAATCTTTTCAATTTTCATAAACTATATTGAACATCATAGGGAGCTTGAGAAAATAAGCTAAAAACTTATTATGAATTAGTCATAAGATAATTTTATAAATTCTTCCAAACATGCTCACAAACACTTATAAAATAAGATAAGTTCAAACAAGTTGTTTATAAGTTCTTTCAAATGGAACCTTTAACTTATCCATAGGTTAATTTTTAGCTTATGGGATAAGCTTATTTTGTATTTTTCATTTCTTTATTCTTTCTACAAGTGTTTCTAGAAAAGCTTATTCAAGTAGAAACTTAGTATCTTCCTTGAACTTTCTTCAAATATATCATTTTATATATCTCTCATTAGCTAGTGATATGATCAAAATAATATGTATATGTATGTATGTATGTATGTATATGCGTGTGTGAATATATATATGTATATATGAAGGGGACAATTATCTCTCCATGAGCTAGCTTTTGAAATTGAGTTAAGTCCAACCCTAAACACAAGTTCTAAGGTGTCAATATATGTGTGTGTGTGTGCTCGTTTAGAAAAACAACCTAATTATGAATTTTTAAACAAGTTCATAATGTGTGTGTGCGTGTGTGTGCGCGTGTGTGTGTTTATAAAATTACACATTTAAAAATTAAAAAAAATAATAAAAAAACAAATATATACAAAAATAAGTAAAATAAATAAATAAATAAATAAATTGCATCATGGATATAATAACATTATAAATATAGAAAAAATCAAAATCATAAATCACCAATTATCATTTTTTATTTTCTTGAAGTTACAAATTTAAGTATCATTAATTTTAAATAAAAGAATATCACACTAATCATTTTTACAAAATTAAAAATTTGTCCCATAAAAAATTAACCAATACATGATTAAAATATAAAATTTTAATCACTTTAAAAAATTTTAACCATTAAACAACTAAAGAAACCATAATAAAATAATTATTTAAATTATATAAATATAAGCTTATTTGATTAAATTCTATTTTTTGGTTTAAAACAAAGAAGCTTATAACAAACAAATTTACAAGCAACAAATAATTATAATTTTTTATATAAAAATTAATATTTATACTAATATATTCATGTATTATATGTATAAAAAATATTAAATTCATCAATTCATTGATTATTTTATGAAAATATATAAGAGTTAACATAAATTTAGGAGAAAAAAAGTAAGAAATAGATACAATTCACATGTTTTGGTCCTAGCAAGATTTAGAGGTTAATCTTTTCAATTTTCATAAACTATATTGAACATCATAGGGAGCTTGAGAAAATAAGCTAAAAACTTATTATGAATTAGTCATAAGATAATTTTATAAATTCTTCCAAACATGCTCACAAACACTTATAAAATAAGATAAGTTCAAACAAGTTGTTTATAAGTTCTTTCAAATGGAACCTTTAACTTATCCATAGGTTAATTTTTAGCTTATGGGATAAGCTTATTTTGTATTTTTCATTTCTTTATTCTTTCTACAAGTGTTTCTAGAAAAGCTTATTCAAGTAGAAACTTAGTATCTTCCTTGAACTTTCTTCAAATATATCATTTTATATATCTCTCATTAGCTAGTGATATGATCAAAATAATATGTATATGTATGTATGTATGTATGTATATGCGTGTGTGAATATATATATGTATATATGAAGGGGACAATTATCTCTCCATGAGCTAGCTTTTGAAATTGAGTTAAGTCCAACCCTAAACACAAGTTCTAAGGTGGTATTTGAGCCAAACTTTTGTGTTTTCTCTTTAATAGTTGAGGAGTCAATTAGTCATAATAACTCAAGTAGAAATTGCAGACAACTAGATGATTCAAGGAGATAATCATCTATCTTGGTTGTCACTTGTCAAAATGTAGAAAAGGATTGCAACTACAAGATTGATGGGGAAAAATCAAGATTAAGACCTAAAATAGCATTAACTATTATCTTTGTTATCCCTTGGGTCTTGAGAGTCAATCATCGTAATTGTCGTAAGGTCTATCGCATCATTCACATCAAATTGTGATCAGACTACTTCTAAATGTCTAATTTTTTAGAATTCATGTCTAAGATATTTAGTCCTCAGTGTGAAAAAGTTTATTAGAGATTTCACATATACTACTAATATAATCAAAATAGTGTATATAAGTTGAGTGGAGTCCTCACTTCATGAGTTTTCTTTTAAGGTTGAGTTAAACAAAAATTCTAATTCTAATATATCATTATTTTCAATGGTGTTAACAAGCTTGGTCTTTTATGTCATAAATCTTATGGTCTCTTATTATGTTTTATTATACTATAACAATGCAATTTTCACATTTAGAAATGAGATCGTATATTGCGTATATGACTTGCCGAAAAATGAACAAATATGATTCAATGTTTGTTATCTATTGTCTACATGACAGGTGGTGGTTTGTTTGTGGCTCTTTTCTACCATTTGTAACATCATCTCCTTCTTCACACTAGTATATATTGGTATGCTTGCTTCACAAGTCCATATATGAAAAGAAATTTGCAATGTCTTTAATTGAGATCATCCTTTTTTTCATTAATTGTAAATTTTATGCTGCATTTAAGGTATTTTACTAAATCTTTTGGCTTTCATTTAATTGCATTTTTCAATGCAATGTAATGTTTTTCAAACTCATATTGCATTTGCATGGTTTTCATTTACCTGATTAGATATTTCCACACATATGATTACTTTAGAATTTGGTTGCATGTGTGTCACTTGTTCTATTTAAATTCATTATCTATTATGTTTTGTTTTGTGAAAAGTCATTTTGAAAATTGATTTTCTTTAACAACAAATGTAAATATTTCATGTCTCACTACAAGTTGGTTATGTGTGGTGTAGGGATTAAATTATACTTATACTGATTATTACATTATGATTGATCTTATACAAAATGTGATTTTTATCAATCTAACCATTGAATTGTAACTATATACTATCTTGATTACTTATAAGAAATTTTATCAAAACTAAAAATCAAACAATCTTGAGCATTTGTTATCTTTTGACTTATTTATTTATTTTTGTTTATTCCTCATTAATGGTGACAGGAACTCTCATGATGATTACTATCCCTGCATTGTACAACAAACATTGTCAATCTTCAAAGCATTATACAGTAGTAGACGAAAGTGCTTTCAATGGACTGACCCATAATATATCAAAGGACAAAGAGACATGATTTTCAAAGTTGTTCGACACAATTCATTTTTGTTTTGAGAAAATTCACTACTCAATTATTTTATTTTGTTGGTTAAATTTGTCAGGTCCTTGTTTCATTTGTATAAGGGACAATTTAGAAGTTTGAGGATTTTGAATTTATATTTTTCAATCATTTTCTTATATATGTTGAAAAATTTTATACAGGTTAATTATACTGATGACAAATACAGGTCACAAATTGTCAAAACTAAATATTTGACAAATAACTATCTCTTAATAATAAATAAATTATAATAAATATATAAAATATAATAAACATAATTAAAATAAATATTTTTATAAGTATTATATAAAGGAAAATGCTAGCATACTCGTACCTTCAGGCTTTTCATAGCCACCAAGATCTCCTCAAATGAATTCTTAGAACTCAAAATATCAAACAAATGGACTTCATAGTCTTCTCAAGATTTTCACTGCATGGTTGAGACATCCATTATGAGTCATTCTAAAGTTTCATTATGATATTTATGTCATATTGATTCTATTTTATTTGCCTGAAACTTATTCTTTCTCGTCCACCTTCTAAGAGCCAATCTAAATCAATCTTGAATTTACTTTTAATGGATGTTCTAAATACACTAAGCATACTCATCAATAGCATAAACACTTAGAAGGCTTATGACTTTTGTTCATGATGTTTGTCATAATTAAAACATAAAAGGGTTTGGATTTAACAACAGTAATTCATACTTAGCTTCATACTCCTCTACCTTCCTTTATTATCAACAAAAGGACTTCCAAAGGTAACCCATAAGGCATTGAAACTATTTTCTTCAAATTCATTTATTTCTTCCCCAAGTCACTCAAACACATAGGCACCACAAGTACCACATGGTTTATTAGGATTAGGGAAACTAAGGCAAGTACGGTAATCCATGTACTCTTTAACTCGAAGAAATTATCATCACATTTATCATGTTACACAAAAGGTATTCCTAGTCCACTCATAGAAAACTACTTTATCTCCAAGTGGTAGACTTAACACATCCTTAAGAAAAACACTTATAAGTTCTCTAACTAAAGGGATATCACTTAGCTCATTTATATTCTTATGACCCAATAAAAAAGATCATGTATACTTATATATTTCTTTTAACGAAGTTCTAACTTGGTTGACAACCATTACTCGATACCCGTACTTCATTAAAGACAATGTTTTATCAATAAAAACATATAGAACATGGTTGAAAGATAAACAGTTTGTATCAATGATTATGTCTAATTGACTAAGAGGCAAACTCAAGTCAACTATAAAATTTCAACAAGCAGTAGCAAAAGACATTACAAATAGGCAATAAAAATACAAACAAGACCATTAGAAAGAGTTTCACCAATAAGATATTAAATTAGGAGAATATAGACAATTGAATTTTGACAAACGAATGTACACCAGTTTTAGTCTAGGGCACAAAAAATAAAGACTTGGAAACTCTTGAGCTACAGAGGAGTGACCATAGAAGACTCCGAAGAAGCTCAATAAATGTCCAAGATGAATAAAGAAGAGGTCATCTCATACCTCAGACTAGATTTTCCTAATCCAACCGTTGTGATAGAAGACAAATGTCTTAGGAGGATATCATTCAAATTTTAGCCTGATCCAACGGTTAAAAAATTCACTTAGGGGTCAAAACCGTTGCTGGTTTGTGCATAACAATCTTTTTTCGGACAACATTTTTTCTCTCATGGTACCTCTCATTACAGACCTAATTTCAATGATTTCACTATTGAAGTTAAAGATCAATGTCATGAAAAGATACTATCAAAAAACCAGCAGAATCCAATGGCTAACAAGTTCTCTAGAGACCTCGTACAACACCTTAAAAATTTGTTTTTTGTGGATTTAGTCCCCCATCTAGAAAAACTCAAAGGACTAAGTCTCATATCTAACAATTCTCTAGGGATTTTGCCTCCTAGTTGGTTATATAAGTAACCCATTGGCAAGGGGGAACTACACTTCTCTCCCTCTCTCTAACTCCTTTTCGACTAATTCAAAATAATGTTCTGAAAATTTTCGATTAAGAAAACCTTTAGCCTTTACAAGGATTTTAGGAGTTTTTCTAGTTAAAAGTTTTCTTGAGTGTTTGAGGGGAATTGTTGTAGAGTGCCAAAGGACTACCAAAAAGCGTTCTCAAGTTTCAAATTTATGAAAGTGTAGCCTTGTAGGTTTTTTTTTTATAAACTCTTATTTACTACTTTCTTTACTACTTTTGAATACATGTTTAGAATTGTTTGCATAATGTAATTGTTTAATCACTTTTATTTGAATAAATAGGGGTAAAAATGTAAATTAAAATATTGTTTTGTTAATAAATTTGTCATGGGGTACTAATTTTAGATGTTGTAGGGTGTCTAACACCTTCCCTCCATGTAACCGACCCTTAAACCCAACTCTGGCTATGTAAGCCAAAGTTGATTTTTTGAAAACCTTTTCTTTTTCTAATGTTTTGAGTAAAATATCGGTAAAGACTCCATAAACCTAAAACACTTTTTTGAAAACCACTAGTGGAGGTTTAGTCTAGTTATTGGGCATTCCAAAGTTGGTGAGATTTTTAGGGTCTAACCATCAATTTGTGTAGAACTTTCCCTAAGAAGAAACATGATAAGTCAACATGTATGTTCTTTATGAGATCTAGTCACGACAACGAACAAGTGACATGAAAGAATAAATTGCACAAAAATCAAAAGTACAACTAAAAGGTTCATTATCACACAAATTCCCAATAGTTTCCCAAAGAATAGCATCTAAGCATCATCCACCACCACTAGCACCTTTACTTGCATCATAAATGATACCACCAATAACCACTACTTTTTACATAAGCAAGAAGAATGCAAACAACCAATAATCAAAGGATTCAAAGTAAGTAAACATATCATGACACACAATCAATCACACATTAGAATACACATAGAACACGTAGTCGTGACACATAACACAGAGTCCAATTTGAATCAACCAGATTCTGATACCACTAAATGTGACATCTTCTATCTCACATGTAACAGTAACCATAATAAAGAAACGCTTTAATCTTGCATGTAACAATAACCATAATAAAGAAACGCTTTAACCAAAAATAATTGAGTTCATGCATAAATAACCAACTCGATAGTATCAAGTCTGGAAGAGGATATCACATAATAAGTAAACATGTTAGTACTCCCACAATAGCTCCTAATAAAATCATTACAAAATAAGTCTAACATTATATCTTAATATACGACTAAACATCATAAATGGAAAATCTTAAACTGAGCCCCCATGTCACATCCTATCAGAGCAATTCTACACAAGGTTTAGGCCTTGCCACCAGCATTATCAACATCATGTTGAGCCTGACCTACAAAAACACACATACATAAACCACACAAAAAATAGCGGGTGAGAAACATTTCACTTTGTCTCACAACATAGAATAAGGTCACATAGCCAAACACACAACAATAAAATAGCATCACGCTACACAATAATATATACATACAATTAAATTATTAACAACAAGGTACAATTAGACCAATCACGATTCACCATAATACTCATCACACTACACATTCACACACGTAATGCAATATACACGTACTACGATTTGCATATGCATGTGGTACCAAACATATATATATATATATATATATATATATATATATGTATATATGTATATATATAATGTATTGATTTGCCAATTTGCATGCATATAATGCATGTCACACAAGACTCGATGCAATATCATGTATCTCTATGTATATTCACAATGATTTGACATCACATGACTCTCATAGGATTCACACACAACAATTTGTCAACACCAATACCAATTCACATCCTTTACATCAATCATGTCTCACATTAACATAAGTACATACTCAACATATCATATTCATTTATCCATATTAATGATCAATACAAGAGTCACATGTTTATAGTTTAAGTGCAACAATTACACAAAATCATTCAATACACCTCAAGATAAAATCGTTATGATATCATTTAATCATATGTTAATATCTCAACCATAATTACTAACAGATCATCATAAAACTAAGCATTTACATTAATAACTTAACTATTCTGGCAATGTTAATGATATCACACATTAATTCCTTAAGCATTACTATCATCAAAACACCTCAAAGCATTAACAATCAACTCATATTATAACTTATTCACAATTTTTCTGTGTCATGATTTATTTTTCCTAAACATTGATATAGGTACCTCGAGCCATTCATAAGATCAAACACTTAAAAGGTAAAGTCATTTATCATAACCATTCATAAACTAAATTTTCATAACTTAATCTTCTATGATCTCGTGTTGTCCAAATACAATACCTAATTGATCTTAATGTTGTTAGAAAGCTGATACAATTATCTATAACTTCTATGTTGACTTCAATAGTTAATTTTTCCATCTACTATCTTTAAAAATTTTATAAAAAAAAACTATAACATTTCAACATAAATCTGACAATCTGACCTTTACTCATTAATTTGATCATAACATGAGTTCTAAACCTCCTTTATAAGTGATTCCAATACTATTAGAAAGTTAACATCTAGAGCTATAATTCATATGAAGACCACAAAATGTGATTTTGATGTTATCACCCCTGACGTAGTGTTTTTCACACCCGACAAAGAGAGGATATAACCTTTTCTATCACACTTGCGCCCGACACAACTAATGCCATGCCCAGCGTGTAACATTGTAGGAACAACATCAAATGGCACCCAGCTTGGCCCATTTGGCAACCGACATCATACCAGTTTGTGAGGAACTTATAAATTGTGTGAAAATCACACAATACGAACCCAAAACCCCAAAAGTCCAACCCAATCAGTAAAAATCATGAATAAAGCTTAATATTACTCTATTATACTATCAATTACTCAAATTTAACATCAATTTCACATATTCATGCAATTAACATCAATCTTGACTTTACTTTAACAAGAACTATAGACATTCATAGATTTTCAAATAATTCAAATTTTACGAAACCAACTATACATATAATTCAAATATCACATATAATGCA